TGCGCCCAGGAGGGCATATGCGCGCCAGGAAGGAGGAAGAGCATGCAGTGGGTGCCCAGGGCAAGGTGTCTCAGGAGCTGCTGAAAGGCGAGTCTGTAGGCCAGGAGGAGGTTGCCCCGGAGATGTGTTTGGGAATCCTCAGCGTCTGGTGGTAGCCCTCCTAGCTAATGGATGAAATCACCCAGGTAAAGTGTACAGAGAGGGAAACAAAAGAGGTCAAGGTGGAAATCTCTGTGGTACACCAGCATTGGGAAGCAAACTGCATAAAAACCAATCCATGAGATGTCTAAATCTCTATTTCTAAATACGTATCTTTTTTTATATTGCAGTGCATATGTTTCCAGTTAGATATTATGTTTCTAAATATATATTCTCCATTGTAAATATATGTGTTTCTGAATAGACACACACATACTCACATATAAAAGGTGTATCAGATGGATCGTTGTTTATTTCAGATGTGCTACTTGCGGCTTCAGCTGCTGGTGACGTTGTGGCATCTATGGGTAAAACGCACACAGCAGCCTGAGGACTTAGTTCTTGCCTTTCTGAGAGGAGCCCAGCGTTAGGCCCTGAGCATGTGAGGATGGAGAAGACAGGGTCACCCTGCCAGCAGTGCAGGGCCTGGTTAGGGAGATGAGGTGTATGCAGGAGAAGAAACATGAGCCCAAGATGGTGCGAACCCAGTGCCACCTAAGGATGTCCCATGTCAAAGGGAAAGGGACGCTAAGGAAAGAGTTCATGTTAATTGCGCAGCTGCCCATGTATTTTCTCATGGAAATCCTCACGAGGTTTCTGTGGGGTTTCCACTGGGCCCCAGGCAACTTCAGCTCAGAGAAGTCAATTTGCCCAAAACGCATCAACTGGAGAGCGCCTGCGGCTCCCTCCATCCGTGGTGTTGTCCCACCTAATGACAAGCCCGTGTTTTCATTAGCTGCTCTGCAGCGACCCTCCGACCAGGCTGATCAAACCGTGTCCCTGACGTCTCTCCATGGCCGGATGACCGGCACAGCGCCTTCCGTCCCACCGGGCGCCCCTTCCACCTGCCACCGGCAGGCCCAGGCTGGCCTGCTTCTGCCTTAGCCCAAAGGGACAGGGAGAATGAAGCTTCTGTTTCTGTCTCCAGGCCTGACCTAGGCGGAGCTTTGTGTTGGTGAGGTACTTCCTGGCGTGGTGTTCTTCAAGGAGGCGGAGCTGTGCCGCTCTTACTGTTCGCACGGGTGGGAAGTGAGGCTTCAGCTGGAATTAACCGGAGCCATCTGCTCACAGGGCCATGAAACCTGCTTCTGAGCTACGATGATGATGCGCTACGGTGGCGATGGTGTTTAGTCTTCTTTTATTGTTCTTTGCAGGAAAGGTGAGATTTGAGTGAGACCTGAAGGTGGAAGAAGAATGAAGTCCTCCCATACTTTTTGAGGTTAGTTTGACTTCCTGGAGAGTTAAAAACTACACTGATGTAGTTTTTGTAAAGTGGAGTTTTTATTTAAAAAATATATTTTTATTGATTTCAGAGAGGAAGGGAGAGGGAGATAGAAATATCAATGATGAGAGAGAATCATCTATCGGCTGCCTCCTGCGCGCCCCCTACTGGGGATCGAGCTCAAAACCCGGGCATGTGCCCTGACTGGGAATCAAAGGGTGACCTCCTGGTTCATAGGTCAATGCTCAACCACAGCCACACTGTCCAGGCAAGATGGAGTTTTATAACACAAATAAGAGGATAACATAGCTTATTACTGTATTAACAATTTTAAGTGTTATTTTAAATCTTTTTATAATAATAACTGCTAATGGTATCACCAAGCTTGATGTGATTAAAAAAATTAGGCCCTCCTGAGTGGATTGTCAGTCCAAGGGTTTTTAAATAGTTGCCAATATTTTAATGTCGTATTTTAACCACATGATTAACTGTCAATATGTTCCTTGGGTGGAAAAAAGTTTACTTGAGCTGAGCGTTTCTTAGCTTTACTCTAGACAGTTTTTAACAAGAAAGGAAATAAAATGAAGCTTGGCGAGAATGTGGGCTCCTTGCCTTATGCAAGCTGGCTCACCTCCCACCTCCCGTGGGGAGCGCAGAAAGAGGAAGGGAGAGAAAGGGTGGTGCTAACCTCCTGCCCACGGTTCCACATGGAAAGCCGTAGGAAACCATCGTGTTTATGAACTAGTGAGTGGAGGAGATAAATACGTGATCTGAGGCCACCATCTTTGTCCTTCCTGCCCCATGTCTCTGGTGGCTTACGCATCTTAAGTCCCCAACTGCTGGTCAAGAACGAGGAGCACTTTGGCTTGACCAACAGGCCCAGGACAGAGCCATGCAACCCTCATGGTCAAGGAATGAGACCCAGGGCTGGGCTGCCTTTTGGAATTCCACTGCTGAGTTTCACTCTACAATGCCCCCTCGAGGTGAGAGACTACCGGGGTACACTGTTCGGTACACACAAGATCCCATAGGCCTGGGGAAGCCACCAGGAATATGTCCCATGGATTCATTTGAACAGTGAAATTCTTCAGCCCCTTCCTCTAGGGGTGGATGTCTTGGTAGTGGCAGGGACATTGGCCTCAGCATGAAAACTTAATTTAAGTTTGTGTTTTATTGTTTTTTCTTCATATTCTACTAAATTTCTAAATGCTTATCATAAATGTATTTTTAATATACTTTTTCTTTATCTTAAAACAAAAAAGGAATATTGAAGGTAGAAAGGCTTTGAAGAAAAACTGAGAACTAAGGGTTGGCTTTCTTGTTCACTTCCTGACCCCATAATTTCCACTAGCAAAAAAGGGGAAGAACATTCCAGGTACGATGACTTATGGGAACAAAAAACTGTTGCATGATGTGGGAAGAATGGTGGGAGTAAAGCTGGCAAAAGTGGCGTGGGGGCAATTGTGAAGGCTCTTGGGCACCATAATAGTTGGAGTTTGGACTTTGTTCCACAGGCAATAGGGAGCCCCCAGAGGCCTCAAGAGATAAGAGATGTGATCATATCGAACCTTGTAGTAAGTGACTTTGCTGTCAGTGTAGAGGCTGATTGGGAAGGAGTCCGGGATACCAGGTAGGAGGCAGTTTAAATACTTAGGAGAGATGAGGATGGTCCAAATTAAGGCAGCGTTGGTATAATTGAGTCATATTGGAAAAACGATGTAGAAAGCATTCATGAGACTTAGTCATATGAAAGGAAAAACATAACTTGAAGAAAAAGAATGACCCAGTGTGAGCCTGAGACACAATGGGTATCATTAATCAAGAAGGGACTCATTTGGGGTTGGGCTCAGAAAAAGGTTGAGACTGAAGATGATTATTTGGAAGGCAATCACCATCCACAAGGATGGGTGACATTCCCGAGGTGAAGGAGGTCCTACAGGGAGAGAACGTAGCATGGAAGAGGAGAGGCCCCAGAACAGAGCCTTGAAGAGGAGGAGTTTCCAGGAGAGAGATTGAGAAAGAGCCGTCTGAGATAGAAGGACCACATTGCAGAAGCCAAGGGAATCCTATTCAAGAAGGAGCAGAAGTTTAGAAAAAATCTTGCAAGGAAACTAAGTTTTGGCCATAACAAAGGCCCTGGTGGCCTTTTGAGAAGGCAGTTTCCAAGGAAGGAGAGGCAGGAATGAGATTCTCGTGGTTGAGGCATGGACAGGAGGCAAGGAAGTATAAATGAAGCCCCAGCTGCTCTTGGGAGATTTTGTAGTGAAGGAAAAAAGAGATATGTAGGCTGAAGTGAAGAAATTTATTTTTTTTTCTTTTTTTTTTTTAAATATATTTTATTGATTTTTTACAGAGAGGAAAGGAGAGAGATAGAGAGTTAGAAACATCGATGAGAGAGAAACATCGATCAGCTGCCTCCTGCACATCTCCCACTAGGGATGTGCCCGCAACCAAGGTACATGCCCCTGACTGGAATCGAACCCGGGACCCTTCAGTCCGCAAGCCGATGCTCTATCCACCAAACCGGTTTCGGCAGGAAATTTCTATTTGAATAGTTCATTAGTTTGCAAAACACTTTTACATCCATTACCTCAGTGAACTCCCAAGACAACTCAGCAGGTAGGAAGGACAAGTATTGATATGCCTGGGAACAAAGTGAGGTAAGAAAGAGATGCAAGGCTTGCCCAAGGTCATCTATAGCAAATAAGTGGAAGAACTGAATTTAGAATTCGGGTCATTTGGCTCTTAATTCAATGACCTTTCCACTGAACTTGCTTTGTTTGCATATTGGACACTGGAGGACTCATTAAAGGGGTTTTGATCTTATCCAGGGGACAATGGGGAGCAACTGGAAGGTTCTGTGCAAAGTAAGAGTATGTTTAAGTCAGTGCTCGAGGGAGGCAATCTCACAGTGAGTGCAGGATGTGTTGGTGGAGCAGACACCTTGGAGAGTAAACCATTAGGACATGCTTCAAACCAGGCACAGCTTAAATAAATATCGCATGGCATGCTGGTAAAGTTATTTCCTGTTCAGATCTGTGCATCCTCTTCTGTGTGTGTTAAGGAGAGGATCACACGTTGCCAGCATCTTTTCATACCCCTCAGATTCTTTCTGATCTCCCTTTTGAACAAAGAGAGAGTTAGCCACGGGCTGAGAACAACTGTATGCAACTGGTTCCGGGTACATTGCTCTGTGTTTACTCTGGTTTTATGATTATTCTCCAGTTATGACAAGTAGTACTGATTTCTCATTTATTGTAGTTATAGAAGGTTACTCTCAGAAACACCTAAGTGAAAAAAGTAGAAGAAAAATATGAAGTCAATTCTAAGCCAGATGGTAAACACTTATGGGAACAAACACGATGAATGTGCATTCTAATGACTAGAGTTTGGGAAATTCTTATATTGGAGACCATTGTAATAGGATTGATGAGGGTTTAGCCCAGGGTGGGGTGATGGCAGTGGAAATGGAGGAGGAGTCTCTGATAGACATTTTAAAGAAGTTAAAAAATTGGGGTATTTTCTGCATCATTTCTCAGGATGCTTATGGCTGCAATAAGAAAAAACTTAAACAAAAAAGGCTTGTGCAATAGCGTGAATTTATCATCTCATATAACAAGAAGCCTCAAGGTAAGGTTGGTCTAGATTGGGTAAGTTAGTGGCTCACTGACATCGCTAAGGACTCAGCTTCCCAACACCTGCCAAACTCAGCACATAAGCTTTGGTCTCATGGCCCCAAAGTGGCTGATATGGTTTGCGAGTCGCATCACAATAAATGATAAAGAGTGATGAAGAGTGAAGGATAAAGAAACCTTCCCCCGAAGGCACCTGCACCAAACATCGCCTTTCAGGTTTCATTGTCCCCAAATAGGCCACGTATCAGGCACCAATCAATCATTGCAAAGAGGACTTCAATGAGCACAGCTAACCTAGTGAAGAAGGATTCATTCTCTGAGCGAGGGATAGAGATCCTTTGCTGAAGGATTTCCCAGCATAATAGGGGCTCTGTTCACAAATCTGGCTGGTAGGCAGTCAACTTTTACAACTTATACCGGTGCTTCTGAAATCCCTCAAATTGAACATCAGTGGGAAGTTCTTGAGGCTTGTGGGTTTTTATGTTTTAGATTTTATTTAGCTCTTCTTTCCATGTGTTGGGTGACCGCAGCGCGAAATACGTCCACTGCAAAATCAGCTTCTGGCTTCGTGATGCACAGCGAGGGCGCGATGCGGAACGTCTGAGGAGACAGGAAAAAGGGGTCGTCAGAGAATCAAACGTGAAGGTGAGCGAATGCCCTAAACTAAGAATCTAAGACTTTGCTGTTACGGCATTTCCTGCGTCTCCTTGGTGGGCTGGTCTCCTTTCCAATGCGGTACCCAGGCCATTCACTTCCGGTCTTGTAAAAACTCTGTACCATCTGGCTGTGCTCCCTTTCCTTTTAGTCACCTGCTCACCTCCTCGCCCTTCCACCTCCTGCACTGAGGTCTTAGGTACCTACCTACACCCCATTTCTGCCACCACTGAGGGCGACCTTCATGTCCATGTGTGTACAAGCCAACAAACTAGCTTCTTACTTTCTTGATTACCACGACCCCCAGAACCTTCATCTCTGCTTCTCCACATCCATTCACACCCAAGTCGGTGCCATGAGCCCGCCCTTCACCAGGAATAATTCAATTTCTGATTCCCATTATGTCTGTCCTTAAAATGAAAGCTTCTGTCTCTTCATCCCTCCATTTATCTTCAGATCTATCGCCCCACTCAGATCTCTTTTTTTTCTAACCAGCTTGGAGCACGTGGTTGATCGTGTGAACTACTCTCTCACCTGCCCCCTCACTGTGCTTGCATTTCCTTCCACCTTCTGCAGCTGCACCCACGCCCACCCACGAAGTCCCAGCCCTGATCCAAGCTATAATGGAACTGCTTTGCGCCAACAGAGGTGGCCAAGAAGTGTTAAAGAACATCACGCTGCTTGGCAGCCGGAGAGCACTAGTAGGCAGGGCCTCCAAGTTCTGCTGGTCCCCTACATTTTTCTTGTTCTTTGTCAGATTCCCCTTTTCATTCTACACCTTTTTCATTCTTCTCAATTCCCTCGCCTCTGGCTCTATTTCACAGATGATCTTGCCTCATGTTTCTCAGAAACTGGAAGGCAAGATCTTTCCGTAGAGCTGGTTTCTCCCACATCCGTTCTTCTATCCTAACCTGAACCTCATTCCAACCTGAACGTTCAGAGAACGAGGTGTCTCTGCTCTTCAGCGCCTCATTTTCCACCTGTGCCGTTGGCCCCGGGGGCTCCCATCACCGTCACCCCAGGAAACAGCCCGCGTTCTCTTGCATCTTCAACTTCTTTTCAACTTTCTCCCAGGCCACAAACAAGCAGGTTTAAGGCTCTCATAACCCACATCCAGACCACACCGAGTAAACATCTGTTGGTCCCCTGGCCCCTCTAGCTGTCAGACAAACGTTATTTTCTCCTTTTATGCAAATTCACTAAAAAGACAGGTTGATGCTTGTTGGCCATCATTTTCCTCTCCCCTCTGTTCACATCTCAACCCACTGCAGGGTGGCGGCTGCCCCTGTCAGCCTGCCACCAGCACCCCAGCTCGAGCCGCCAGGGCCTGCTGAGTGCGGAACCCGATGGCGTGCTTCCGCCCTCGCCTTCCTGGCCTTCTCTGCTGCGCTTGGCACTTGGGTCCCTCCTTCTGAACTTGTCCACTTTCTTGCTGCTCCACACCCTGCAGCTTTCCTCACACCTCTCCGCCCTTGGTCTTGTCTCCACTCAGGCACGCTTTCGTCCACCTGCCCTTTCTATGTCGGTGGACAGCTTGCCAGCCTCGCCTCCCTGCATTTTTGACGCAGACACACTCCCAGGAGATGTCCTCAGCTCACCACTCACCCTGATGAGCTCCAAACTGTGATATTTACCTCCTTTCCGCTGAGCTACAGACTCATCTACAGGCCCGGATGCCCATCAAGCCCTCGAATGGAGCACGGTCAAAGCCCAAGTCAGCTTTATCCTGAACCAAGTTAGACACGAGGGCTCCATCCCTGCCTCTCCTTCTCCACATGCCGTCCGGGCATGTCGCTTCCAGGATTGTTCTCTGGGGCCTCCGCCCTCACAGCCACGGCTGCTCAAGCTCAGGCAGCATCGGCAACCCCCACCGGGACTCCCTGCCTCCAGTCCGGTCTCTCAGCCTCACCCTCCTCCGAGCAGATCCAGACAGCAGACGGCCTGAGCCTGGATCCTGGTTCTGCCACTGACTAGCTGTGTGACTCGGGCAGTTTAACTAACTTCTCTGTGTCTCTTTTTCCACATCTACAAAACATGGGTGATAATAGTATTTATTTCATAGGCTTGTTGAGAGCACTGAACGAGTCGTGCCAAGTGTTTAGAACCGAGCCTGACAAATAGGCGTCTTCTTCTTCTCAGTGACTGCCTCCTGCCCTAGGCTGCTGCCACACTGTGTGCGTGTGCGTGCAGCTCTTTGCACGCTGCCATGTTCCACCCACGCTTCCAGTGTTTATCTCATCGTTTAGGGCTCAATGCAGCCAGAAAGGCTGGCCTCGGGGGTCCCTTCTCTTTCCTCCTTTTTAGAGCTGCTGCGAGCTTCTGTTCTGTTGTACTTCTCTGTTCCCATGTCCCTCTCTCCTGCCAGCGCCGTAAGGGAGGGGCCAGATCTGATTGGTCACCGCAGCGTTAGTACGCGGCACAGCGATGGCCGCTTTGCACGTGTTTGCCGGGTAACTAAGGCATAACTGAGCAAGTCAGCCATGGATTGGTTTATGTCTGCGTAAGTCGGGCATCTCCCTGACGCCCCATCTTAGGATTTTCAATCGTTACCCTGTCTGATTTGTGCAGAAAAATATTTGTGACCGGGACCAGAAACAGCCCGCTGAGCATGTCCTAGCAGAAGTGCTCGCTCTGGCCCTCTGGGGTCCGGCGTGGGCTGGGCTGGGACAGCTCTAAGCCTACTGGTTTGCAGGCTGGGAGGCTGAGGGGAAGGGAAAGCTGCAGATGCCGGTGGGGAGAGACGAGAGCACGGAGTCTGAGCCGGAGTGCCCCCTCCCCTCCGGGCCTTTGGGAAAGGCGGTACAGAACGGCTGTGGGACAGAGGGGTGCACATAGGATCTTGCCTAGTAGCTCCATTTCCTCAGAGAAGTACAGGCAGGTGCTCACTGAAGCAGAGTGAGGGGCAGGAATGGAGCAGGGAGGCTGGGAAGAATGACTGACGTCTAAAATGAGAAAGATGGCAAAGGACAGGCACAAAGTAGGGGAGGGGCAGAGGTTGCCCTAAACCTTAGATCTCTGCCCCCAGCCAGTCCTGTGAGCGTCCTGCTGTGTGGGGGACGAGGGGCAGATTGCTGTACTCTCAGCAGCAGCCCGCGCACGGCCAGGGCCACACCAGTCCTCCCGGGGAGCTGCACTCTGCTTTCCCAGGGAGCATGGGAGCTTGGTGTCTGCACCCCCAGCCTGAGGGCGAAGGGCGCTGGGAGAGGCTGACTTGGAGCTCTGCCTTAGGGACCAGCCTGGGTAGCCCCCCATCTCTCCTGCGGGTCACCTGGCCTGCCAGCGCTCTGAGGTTGCTCCTGGCCCCAGGGGCCACTATGTGTTGAGAGGGTTGGTTAGGGTTTACAAAGCCAGAGCCCAGGGCTCAGTGAAGGACAGCCAGGATCGCTCTGACAGGCTGCAGGGAACTCACACACGAGGCACGCTGTTCATTGCACGACGGCTATGACGTTACTATGACCCGTAAATCCTCTGGTCGCCGGTTCCTGTTGCTGATGCTGTTAGACTGCCTCTAGCTATTCCCCACAGAACGCTGACAGCCAAACCGGCGGACACAGCGCCCCCTCGTGGCCCTAAGGCGCCGCTGCCACTTCATTTTGAAAATATCTGAGCTGATGTCTAGAGAGAGGGGCCGGTCCCCCAGCACACGCCTTTGGAAAAGTGACCAGGCAGCCTGGGGCGTCAGGGAGGGGCCCCCCTACAGCGCCAGGGAAGCCAGCCTTCCCCTCACCTGGGAGAAGAGGCCGCCTCGGCCGACGATCAGGCCCATCTGCCTGCAGTCCTCGTGGATCTGGCTCACTTCCTCCCGGGGAAGGGGCTGGCGGCTCGTCTGCCAATGAAACACATTTTCCATTTGGTGTTGGCGGGTGAGACATTGTTCCCAAGAGGAAGGGAAGCAGCTCAAGCAATCCGCGTTCTTCGTCCCTCCGGGTCCCTCTCCCCCTGCAGCGGGATGAGGCTGTTCATGGCCAGACTGGATCTTTTGGGGGTGTTATTAGATATTAATTTTATCTGGTGTTTGTTTTTATCCCGATTCATTTCCAGATCCCTAGAGACCAGCAGCCGGAGGCAGAAGCCCGAAGCTGGGCTCTAGCGCCTGCTGCCGGCCCCTCCCCAGCGGGAGCGGAGTCGGCTCTGGATGCGGGAGCCCCCGCGCCCCTTCTCTCCGTCCTGCCACGTGGAGAGCTCATTCCCAGGCCGGGAAGTGGCTCAGAACCTGCACGAGGACACGGACAGCCACGCTCTCCCGGGGCAGCATGGCCTGGGCAGCGGGGGTGGCCCGCGCGTCCCCTCTTCCCTGCGAGTGAAATCTGCTCTTTCCCTGGCGGGGGGCGGGGGACGGCGGGGGGCGGGGGACAGCGAGGGGGGGGCGGGGGGACGGGGGCGGGGGCAAGCGCTTCGGGAGCCACAGGCTGTCCCAGGTCCCGAGGCCTCTGAGGTTGGTCCTCCCTGTGGGTCCCGGAGTGCCAGCCCCCGGGGCCCTGCGGGGGTGCGGGGGGTCCCCTTTCTGTGGTCTCCTGTCTCCTGAGGCTGAGTACGGGCGCCTCCTTCTGACCTGGTCCCCTCGAGTCTGACTGTGTCAGTATAACGTCTTCCCAAGCTCGGGGAGCGGGGCTCACACCAGCCTCGCCGAGGGAGCGGGAGGTACCCGTGCTCCTTAAGGGCCCCCCAGGCGGCCCCCCAGGCGGCGGGGCTGGGAGCCCGCACTGGGAGCTCCTATCTGAGCGCAGGGCTCAGCCTCAGCTGCGGGCAGCCTCTCGGGCATCAGCACCGGCTGTGGCTCTGGTTCCAGATGCCCAGGACGAGGTCCTGGCTTGGGGGCCAGCCCTTCCCTCCTGTGAGATGGAGGTGGCTCCCAGCTTCATTCTTCTCCTTGGGGCTCCTGCCCCCCTCCTCTAGGCTTCAGTATCCACCCCCGTCCCCCCAACACCTCATCCAACTCGTTCCCCAAATCTTCGGTTCCTGGTGAGGAATAGGCCTGGGCATTTTTGTCTGTCTTAGAGCCTTAAGATCAGGAATGTCATCCTCACATGTTCAGGCCACTAGGCAATGGAGGACCTGGGAGGGAGGGAAGGACCAGGTCTTCTCACTGACCTGAGATGTCGTCGTGCAGCCTGTGGGAGGGCTTGACGTTTTACCAGGACAAATCGAGGCCTGAGGAACGTCTTTGGTCACCTGTCCATGCGCGGGCGGAAGTGGGGTTTGGAAGATTGAGAGCGGGGGTAGGGGGGTGGGGGGAACGAGGGGGGAGGGGGGCTCCTCGCTCGCTGGGCTTTCCTCTGGGGAGTCTGGACGTTGAGGCGCCTGCGGTCTTGGAGGGAGCTCCTGGCTGGGGGCCAGGGTGGACTCTGAGCCTTAAAGCAGCCCTTGACTGGGCCCCAAGCTGAAGGTCAGTCTGCAGGGCTTGTGGTCTGGTCTCATGTTCCTCTTCTTTTCCCGTTGTCCTCCCTGAGCTTTAAATCTGGTTTAAACATTCCAGCTTCCTACTGGCTCTGCTGTGTGGTTTTAATGGAAGAGTGTATACCTGTGGTCCTGTCTAAAGACTAAAAGAATGGACCATTGATTCTTCTAAACTAGATCAAATAGCAAGAAGTCACTAGGGGGGGCGGGGAGGGTTGGGGGGGCAGGAGGTAGGGGGGTAAGAGATCAACCAAAGGACTTGTATGCATGCGTATAAGCATAACCAATGGACATAAGACACTGGGGGATAGGGGAGGCTAGGGGACTGTCTAGGGCAGGGGGGGAAAAATGGACACATGTAATACCCTTTGTATTACTTTAAGCAATAAAAAAAAAAAAAGTCACTAGGGGAAAACTGAATCCCCATGGACACAGTTGGGGGAAAGGGGTCGGTCTGCATATTCCTCCCTGGGCCAGGATTCTCCCGCTGTTGGGCTCCTAGAGGACCTAGGGCTGCTTTGAGGGGAGGAGGGACAATTTCCTACTCACAGGGGCTGCAGGGGCAGCTGTAGAGACAAAGGAGGCTTTGAGAGACGCACACTGAGGTGAGAAATGTGGGGAGAGAAGGAGTCGCAGATTATGTGGTGATACTGAGGCTGGGGAGCTGGGAAGGTGAGAAACAGAGTGAACATGGGAGGAATAACTGGTTGGGGAAAATGCTAAGTGTAATTGCTGTCATGTTGAGTTTGTCACTGTGGGGAATGCCATCAGAGAGTCACATCATTCCTCCCTGGTTACTTGGGAATGAAATCTACACATACACCCCCCCCCCCCCCCCCCCCCCGCCCCACAGATCTTTAATATCCTTACCGTAACCATTACCACAACCTTCTCCCAGCCCTCCCCACTTACTTCCACCAGCTCTCTGGACCACTTGCTCTGCCTCCCCCCTCAAATAATTTCCTGCCTTGCCCACATTTGTAGTTCTAAATATTCAGTCATCACTGACGCTCTCTGCCTAGTGTGGCAAGAAGACCAGCTCCCTTTCCCAAGTCCCCGCCCTCACCCTCTAGCACTCTCCAGAGCCTGCGGGCATTCTGTGCTCACTCAACACGGGTGCTGTGCTGCGGGCTCCCTCCTGGGAGTGAGTGAAGTCAGCTTTCGGCTGGTGCTTACTACTTGGACTGTAGGTGCCCCCAGAAGCCACAGAGAGAGAGCAGCAGGTCAGAACCTACCTTATCCTTCACCATTTCTATTCCTATCATGAGGCCTTTGCCTCGGACGTCTCCGATAATTTCAAATTCATCCTGCAGCTTAGCCAACTTCAGCAGCAGGTAGGTGCCAACCTCTTGACTGTTTTCCTGCAGCTTTTCTTCTTTAATCACCTGTTGAGAGAAAGCCCCAAAGCCCTTGCATTAAGCCAAGTTCTAAAATGAAGAAGCAAGGAGAGGTGAGTGTAGGCGGCCCTCTTTATAGAAGCCTGACCAGACGAATGGAACCCAGGTCCAGTGTGGCCATACCACGTGCTACAGAAAGATTTCTGTGAGGAGAATGTAAGTGCTGGGGGCGGGGCCATTCCCCCTTCCTTCCTCATCTCCAGGGTGGGTGAGAATTTAGGAAAGAGTGGAAGCCACGTCTCAATGAGTCTGTCACAGAGCCCATAATCCTGAGCTCTATAGTGCCTGGCTCTGCTGAACACTGGGCGACCCTGGCTAAGAAGACAAGTGCTCTGAGGGCAGAAAGGTCACAGATGCCTGCCCTCCTGGCAGCTTGTTGGCCTTTGCCCAGCTGCCCCCAGGTGCCCAGGGGCCTCCCTGCAGGGCCCTGGCCTCTTGAGCTGAGCTGAGCAGGGCCCCGTGTGGCCCAGAGTCAGGGCACCTGAACAGACAACAGGATTCTCACTCTCTTGTGCGCACAGCGAGACTGTGATCTGACTCAATACATGCAACATGCACTGCATTATATTTCACTGATAGCCGCCGCGCGACTCGGGCCAACCTGGACGTGTTGAAGACCTTTCTGTCCACCTAAGTCCTCTCTACTTTCCATGTTGGTTGAGGTGACTCAGCACTTTTGAAAAAAGTTGGTGGCGTCTACAGAATGAAATAAATGACACATCCGACCCACAACTTCTTGAACATTCTTTCAGAAATACTTTAAACCTATTTATGCCAATGCTTTCAAGCATATTAGCTAGTGCATTCACAACGTCTTCTCCTACAGATGTGACCCCAGGCAAAAATCAATGGAGTGGGGCTAAACAGTAGCTAAAATACCTGGTAATCACATATCACAGATCCGCTGTAGTCTTTTAATTTATGACAGTACAAAAAAAAAAAAAAAAAAAAAAAAAAAAAGGCATGAAGCCAGGCCGGTGTGGCTTAGAGGTTGAGCATTGACCCATGAACCAGGAGATCACAGTTGGATTCCTGGTGGTGCCCAGGTTGCGGGCTCCATCCCCAGTAGGGGGCGTGCAGGAGGCAGCTGATCAATGATTCTCTCTCATCATTGATGTTTCTAACTCTCTCTTTCTCTCTCTGATATCAATAAAAAATTTTTAAAAAAACAAGAAAGAATATATAAGAGCCAAAATTAAACTATTATAAGGAAAAAGAGCTTGTTTATGTAAAGATAGTAAAGAAGTGACATTAAAGATAACAATTGCTCGCTATCCATAAAATAGCACTCAAATAACAAAGACACTTCAGTGCTACCAGGAGCTAGGGGAATGCTTACTAGTACATTTCCCATGCATGTGAGGTTTCTTATCTATTTCTTACTCAATACTTCGAGCACCAAAACTAGATCATTAAGAAAAGAAGGGCAGGTGCCAGAATAATAACTGGAAATCGAACTTTAATTCATAAACTAGTAATTATAATAAAATCTGGGAATCTAACTTTAATTCATGAACTAATAGTTAGCCTTCCTCTCCAATAATGCGATGTGATAAAGTCATGAGGATGTGTGTGTGGCTTTGAAGTTGTCGTTTTGTGACATGAGTGACGTCCATGTGGCTGCTGGCACATACCTCAAGCACGGCCGATCCGATGGCACAGGCCATGGGGTTCCCTCCGAAGGTGTTGAAGTGCAGGACGCATTTAGCCAAAGACTTGGCAATCTCTAGGAGGAGAAGGTAAAGGTAGGTAAAAGGGGACACCTTCCCATCTATAACCTCCCATCACAACATTTGGGGGACGTTGTAAGTGACATCATATCCAATTCATCCCTCACTCACCACATAGCGGATGCTATGGATGGAATTGTCGCCCCACCTAAGTCCCTATGTTGAATCCCTAACTACGTGGCTGCTTTAGGGAGGTCGTTAAGGTTAAATGAGGCCAAAAGAGTAGGTCCTAATCCCACAGGACTGGTGTCCTCAAAAGCAGAGACAACAGAGCTCTCTCGCCTTCTGTCAAAAAGGACATGTGAGGACGGAGCAAGAAGGCAGCCATCTTCGAGAGAGGTCTCACCAGAAACTAATTCTGTTGGCGCCTTGACCTGGGACCACCAGTCTTAGCACTGGGAGAGAGAAATGTCTGCCGGTTAACCTGCTCCCTGTGGTATCTTGTTCTGGTATCCCTGGCTGACCAATACGGCGCACAAGGAATCATAGCTTGTTTACTCAATGGGGAGTTGGCTAACAAAGACTTGAATGTGCCCTGTGAACTGAGAAGTACCTTAAATCTTGACTTGTGAAATTTAACTCGGAACCTTCATTAATAAAACCTTTTTCCCCCCCTGTCTTTCACTTTTGGGATTAAGGAGGAAAAAAAAATTCCTCACATCAAAGATTTAGTAATATAATTTTTGGATTGTTTCAGGGTGAGTATATATTCAGCTCATTATACTTGACTTTCTACCAGTACATCCGTATTTTTGTACCTTAAGTCATTTAATAAAAATACCTAACTAGCTTTCCGTGCCTCATGTGGGGAAGACAAATGAAATAATTTTAGGAATTTCATAAAAATTGTTTTCTGTCAGACCTCACTAAAATGCAGAATTCAGTTACTGTTCATGTTCTGGCTAAGTGAGCTTGTGCCATATTTAGCTGTTTGGTAGATGAGACATCCACAGACACATCTAATGCTCTGGACCTTGAGTCTATAGCTTCTTAATGTGGCGAGACCGAGTTAGAGTTTCCTTCCAGAATGTGAGCCCTTGGAAATTCCAGGGTTGGTTTCAGGCTGGTTAACAAGGATCCCTTGGGCTGGTGGCACATTTCCCTATTCCTTGGCAGTGTGTCTGAACCCTGCATTTCATGGTGGAGGCGGGAGAATTAGTCCGCCCTGCAGCAAGGGCGAAGGGGCCGCTTGCTTTCATCCGGCCACGATCTGGCAGGCAGACTGTTCCTTTTTTGTTTTTGTTTTTCATTGCTTGGGAAATGCATGTGAGTTCCCCTACCCGTCTCCAACCCATACACATTCCAATGCGAGTTCCTTCTCCAGTTGCTGATGCAGGAGGCCAGGCAGCAGCCACACACTGCCCGGAGGTCCTACCTGGCGTTGTCACAACTGCTGCCATGGGAAAGCCATTCCCAATCCCTTTGGCCATGGTGACGATGTCTGGCAGGACGCCGTGGGTTTGGAAGCCCCAGAAGTGAGAGCCCAACCTTCCAAATCCCGTCTGCACCTGAAGGAAGCAAATCCAAATCATTGGGAAACTTTCAGGAAACGCTGGTGTTTCTGACCCTGACATCTTCACTTTCCTCCCCCTCCCCCTCCCCTCCCCTCCCCTCCTGCTTAGCTCTCCTCCTCCTCAGGATCATCATTGCCAGCCATTGTCACCACATCTTTGTACCATCATTGACAAAACGCTTCATCTGTGACTGAGCTTTCAGGCCCCCAAAGCCATTTACTAGCTTTGTGTGACTGGCTATGTTTCTGAGGTCATTCTGTACCTGTGTTTCCTCTGGTAAGTAGGAATGCTAGTAGCCACGCGTCACAGGCCTGCTGTGAGGGCCGTACACACGATGCATTGGCAAGGATCATTATGATTTAGCAAAACTTAGCGATTCCTGTGTGCAAGGCGGCAGGGTGGAGCCTGGAGGAGCAGCCCCTGCCCCCGGCTGGGTGAGGCAGCAATTACAGGAAGCGGGTGGGGGTGGGGCACCTGCCACCCGCCTGGATAGGACAGCCTTCCTCTTCCTGGAGACCTCCTTTCTTCCTGAGGGTTCCGTCACCAGGAGGACCCAGCTGGGCCATGTAACTCAGGGCCCAAAGTTGATCTTTGTTGTCTTGTTCATGTTGCTCTTTCTTTCTAGAAGACTCCGTCCCTGTTTTCATGCCACCAATTCCTCTTGTCTTCAAGCACAGCTTCCTCATCATCCTGTGGTCAAGGCTGATTTTCCCAGCAGGGCCCCCAGTCAAGGCATCTGGGCATGCTGCCATCGGAACCAGCCGCCTCTGCCATCGGAACCTCCCGCCTTAGGCTGTCAGCACCAGGGTACCTGTCTGATGCCAGGGGCTGTATCTTACACCTCCTTTGATCCAGAACACCGCAGAGCGCCTGGTAAAAGCAGGCACGTAGGGTCTGGAGAAGGAACGGCGTGGCGAGCGCCTAAGCGCACATAGCCAACCAGCATGCCACTGCCATCGGACGTGGCCAGGGCCTCTGTGGCCACGGCTCCTTGACCTCTCCCTGGCTCTGTCTCCTGGCCTGTCTGTCGGTCTCCATCTCTAATGCACACATTGCAGGTCGGGACCGAGGTGCGGAGCTGCTGCCTCTGAAATGTACTTGAATGAGCTTCCTTCCAGGCGACCTTCTTATGGCTCCCGCTCTCTCCAGGGTGCGCTGCCCAGGCGGACTCCAGGGGTTAGAATGACATGATGGCAAACCAGGTGGCCGAGCTTAGACCCAGGAGTCGGACAGACCTGGGCCCCAGCCTGGGGGTCTCCCACTTCCTAGCTCTGGGCCACTGGGCAAGCTGTCGGATTTGCCCAAATGACATCATGTAGGTTTGAGTCTGGCTCTGGCCCTACTAACTGCACGACCCTGGAGGCTGATTTAACCGGCTTGGAGTTCAAATCAGTTTTCTAGAAAGCAGGAAGAATGACAATGGGCCGTACCTTACAGAGCTGCCAGGGGCATTAGCTGGCGAAGCGTTACAAACGGGCCTGGCACGCAGGGAGTGTTCGGAAAGTTCCAGCCAGTCTTCGCGTTGCCTGGCCATTCCAACTGCCCTTCCAAGGTCACCTTGAGTTACTTTCCCATCTTGTTCTCGCAAGTGACAAAACCACGTCTCAGAAAACCCTGCAGCTCATGTTTCCTGTGAATCCAGTCTGCCTTCCCTCTGCTTAGGGCAAGTGTGGCAGCTTCAGGCTGCACTGACTCCAAAGGTGAAAGTTCATTCTTTTCACTGATGGAGCGAGTTGCAAACCTATTGAATATATTTTTCTTCTTTTTAATAACAGATTAACTTTCTTCAGCTAGGACTTTGATTAGCTGACGTTCCCTAAACTTGAGCCAGCAGGTTGCAGAGGGGCGGTGGGGGTGGGCGAGGCGGTCCAGTCCCCCTGAGGCTAACAGAGACCCAGCTGCATGTGTAGAAACTGCAGAAAAAATCTGAGAGGGCCCTAGCCAGTTCGGCTCAGTGGATAGAGCATTGATCTGCAGACTGAAGGGTCCAGGTGGTTTGATTCCGGTCAAGGGCACATGCCTCAGGTGCAGGCTCAATTCCCCCTGCCCACTCCATCAGGGTGTATGTGGGAAACAATCAATTGACATGTCTCTCTCTCCCTTCTACTCTCTCTAAAAATCATTGGATCAATGGAAAAATATCCTCAGGTGAGGATTAACAAAACAAAAAAAATTTTGAGGGGGAGCCCGAGATCTGCGTTGGGTTGATTAGTTGAGGAAAGTTGATTAGTTGATTGGTTCAGGCAAAGATGGCAGATCTGGAACCTGCATGCAGCATAGGAGTTCCCCACCTGCTCTTGGTGGGGCCACCATTGCTGGTGGAATCAGGATGAAGGAGCCAGGAGCACCTTTGGGGGCCTGGGCGCCATCCTCTGCCCATCGATCGCCATTGCTAGTCTCATGAGGCAAAACATTACTTTCTTAATAGACTCTAATATGAGGTGTGATTATAAGTAAACTGGTCTCTTTTAAAAACACACAGGCTAGAGCTCACAGAAGCAATGAAGTCTATTCTTTAAAGTCGTCCCCTGAGGCAGTATGCTGTTCCAAGAAGGCCTTAACTCAAGCTATGTTAGAATTTTTGGGGAACTATTTTTTTAAAAAAAAATATATTCCATTGATCTTTCACAGAGAGGAAAAGAGAGGGAGAGGGATACAGAGTTAGAAACATCAATGAGAGAGAAACATCATTCAGCTGCCTCTTGCACGCCCCCTACTGGGGATGTGCCCGCAACCCAGTACATGCCCTTGACCAGAATCGAACCTGGGACCCTTCAGTCCGCAGGCCAACGCTCTATCCGCTGAGCCAAACCAGTTAGGGCGGAAACTATTTTTTGAGTATCCCCAGTGGTGGCCCTCTTCTAACTTAGAGGCTGGGCTTTTTTCTTTTTTAATATCCTTGCCAAACAAGTTTTGTTACTAAGGTAAGGCGAATGGGGCCAGCATGGTTAACACTCTCTCGGCAACAATCACTTGATGAAGATTTGGTTACGAGATTAAGTTTCCTCTGTGGTTTTTAAGTGGCCCCTGATGTAACCCCAAATCGGAATTTAAAGATATTTTCAATGATGGCAATATGTGGTAGACTTCAATTTGCTGCCTGTACTTGTTCAAAAGACCGACTAATCCACGAATAAACCAGCCGGCCAATAGCAGAAGCTCCACTAACTTGTACCCACCCTGGCCTTTCTCTGCCTGGAATACAGAGGGGCATCAAAAGGGCTTCTCCCTGCGCCTCGCTGCCCCTGTGCCCCACTTTGCATGTTCCAGGGCCACTCACTTCGTCCGCGATGCACACGCCTCCTCGCTCCCGCACCAGCTGGAAGGCCTCCTTCAGAAACCCCTTCGGGTACTGGACGAACCCGTTCACCCCCTGCAAGAGTCCAAACCCAGGAGACTTAGCACAGCAACACGGCTGGAAAAAACAAAGGAAGATCGCTTATCATCATTAGTACTTTTAGCCACTTTTTTATACTCAAAATAAAATTTTTTTTCTGTCCTGGCGTCTTCTACCCTTGGTTACAGCACTTCCGCCAGCTCCTCTTCGGGCGGGTCTCCAGGCTACTGTCCTGCAGGTTAGTGGTAACTTGATGTGGTCACGGGAGGAGGCAGACACCCATTCTGCCATTTACACCGGAATTGGAATTCCAGCAACTTTTAAAACAGTCTCTAGAACTGCTTCCACTATGGGTGAAAAGAGGCCATTATTCCTATGCCATGCCTTCTGGGGAAAAAATGCAAATGTATGCTTTCCTGAGATTAGAATAAGAGTAAATTAAGGGGATTTAGTAAGGTCATACAGGGTGGGGCAGAAGTAGGTTTACAGTTGTGAGTACGTGAAACACAGGGTTTATTCTTGCATTATGACTTATTAATTATTGCATTATTTCCATGCAAACAACTGCAAATCTACTTTTGTCCCACCGTGTAGAAAGGCCTCTGCTCACAGTGTGGGTATTAAGCAACTAAAAATTGCTGGGGTTTTCTGTTGTTCAGAATATTAGGAGTTTATAGTTTTATCTATCTTATCTGTCCAGCCCAGAAATTCAGAAGATGGCATATTTATAAGTCAGTTGAAAATCATGGGCTCTCTTTTCTTCCAAGGGGACCAAGGGAATAAATTGACTTTGGAGAGGGACACGGCAATGGTTAAAGGATTTCACAATTCTCTAGAATGTCTGAGTTAAAACTCTGATAACTGTAAACTCAGGGACTATCTCAGGCTGATATACTCACTTGGATTGGTTCTGCAAAAAATCCAGCAATTGACTTGCCCACACAAGTGCTGAGAGTATCTTTGAACTGCTCGATATACTGGTCTTCAGCGTGGCAGCAGTCTGCGGATAACAACCAACAAAGAAACGAAGCCCCCACGTGTGTGAAGGAGTGCAGTGGCATCAGAGGAGTGGGGAAAACACAGACCAAGCAAACAGGAAGAACAAATGGCCTGCAGTCCCTCGGAATACAGAAAACCAGGATGGCAGGGTCCTGATTCCTGAAGGGGGAACATTCTGTCAGAAGGGCTCGCACTCTGGCTCCAGCAGCACGACGAAGGCAACCACAAAGGCATAAACAAACCGCTCCGTCCTTCCGTCTGGGGAGGAAATGCCCGGAAGTGCCATTGAGTTTGGTATAGATGGCTGCTTCCCCTAAGGAGACCCATCCTCTCAGCCGCATGGATTTCATTCAAATGTCATGGGGGGCGGGGGGGGGGCAGTTAATCTATTTGAAAATAACTCTATGTACCTTTAGTTGATACTTAAGTTGCTACACAATTTTAAAGTTATGAAGTGCCTCAGCCTTCAGCTAGTCAGCGTGTTTATAGAACAATTAGAATTCAGTCTACAGAGGAATATACTAGAGCCGGGTGACCTCCATCCCTGCAGCGAGGAGAGCAGGAAGCGGTCCCCTCTGGAATAGCAAAAGGTCCCTGATGGACACATCCACATGGCTGAACCTTCAGAATTTCTACCTGCCCCTGTAACTTGGATCTAAACAGCCCCATGGGTTCTTTGAACATAAAAACTCATGTCCGTGGACAGTAGAGGGACCTCCAGGACAATGCGGATGCAAAGGAAGTGACAGTGGAAGTCTGGAAGACGAGTCACCAGCTCCCACCCTAACACTCACTTAGAGGCAAGGCTACAGCCTGTCTCCTGAAGGCTAGAGATGAGGAATAGAGACCTTCAGTCATCACCCTCAGGATGGAAGCATAAATCTATTTCGTATTCCAGCTCCTCATTGGAAAATGAGAAAATCACTACCTGGCCCCCAACATATTTTTTAGGCCATAAGTGATGTTCGGGAAAGCTGGCTTGACAGAGCTACCTGATATCCTGGGTTAGTTAGAGTTGGGGGTTGGGGTGTGAAGAAGGGAGTAATAGAAAGGATATCAAACCCAGCAAGCACATGGTTAGCATCAGCTACACTGTTGGATGGGCAGGATATAGTAGACAAATAAATGTATGCCTCTAGAGATTGGAATTTCTTATTTTTAAGAAAGGAAGGGAAAACAGTCTAGGATGACCTGAAAGGATGGACAGACACATGTCCAAAAGATGTAATTTGGATGTTTATCAAGCCCATTTATAATTAGAGAAATCAAAGGGTAGAGCAAAATCAACCCAATGTCTTAAATTTGGACAAAACCAAACCCAGAGAAGATAATATTTTGCTTGACTCTGAGCTAGACCTTTCCTGATGCCACCACCCCCACCGCCCACACACTCAGTGATGGGAGGGGCCATCCACTGTCATCAGAGCTTTTCTTCACTTCACATTTACTTCACTGGCTCATTGCTGTAACTCCAGGTCAGGCTGGCCCTGGAGAGAGACTTGATGCAGTGGTGTCACCATGACAACGTCAAGGCGGTGGAGAGTGGATGCTCTGTGGGATACCAGCCAAGCAGCAGCGTGGAGAAGGGAGAGTTCTTTTTTCAGCTGATGATGTAGAAAGAGTTAAGCAGAATGGGGAGCCAAGGAAGAAAGAAAAATCAAGAAAAAGAAGACTTGTCTTGCAAAAGGTGAAGAAGAGTGACATGAACAGTAACAGGTTGAGGACATTGTGGGGTCAGTGGCTATTGACCGGTGAATTTCATCACAGGTTACAGCTGCAATTCAGGGCCTGGAATGAACACTTGGGAATCAAAGTTCCCTCAGGAGGGGGTGAAGGGGGACAATGCAATCTGCCACACGACCCCCTATATTAGGCTCACAAAACGGACCACTGCTTAGGTCAATGTGGGGAGTGATGGGATAATGCTGAGGTGAAACATCTTCTATGGAGATTGGCACTTGAGTGGACCCTAAGAGGAACCCGACAATGGGAACTTTCTACCCAAAGTACTTTGTGTGTTGGAATGTTTTTGTAAACATATTTGAATAAACCTTTTTACAGCAAAGACCAACTTCTCAGGCCCTAAAAGCACTAGCAGAGGCTAAAGTCTCTTTTTGCATTCCAATTCCATTTAAAGATACGGTGTCAGCCTTATCTCTTGAAAATATGAGTTAGCAAAACAGCTGACTTCAGAATGCTGAAGACAACAAGTTCAGGGGAGCAGGGATGAATGCCTGTCACTATCAATTAGCTTCTAGTTGCCAATAGAGAGATTACTACCAGAGAGGTTCTGGTATTTTCTATCTAGTTGGCCTACGGCTGAGGGAAAGACCTCAAAGAGGGAGGAGGCAGAGAGAATGGAGAGAGAGGGGGACACAGGGCAGGGAGGTGAGGGAATGACCATCCCTTGAGTGCTTCTGTCTACTAGGCTCTGTGCTGGTGGTTTTGCAGTCATATTGAGGTCTGTGAGGTGAACCCAAGTGAGTTTGGTTCTTGATGCCATACAGATAAGATATACAGGTCTGATTGTACTTGGCCTTGCTATGATCTGCCTTCCTCTACAAAAATTCCCTTGCCTTGATCTCATGAAGTCCTGGGATTAAAGGTCAGGGAGGCAGGTATTCTTATCTCCATCTTTCAAATGAGAAAACGTAAGCAAAAGATGGGGCTTTCTCTCATGTCGGGCAGGGAGTGGGATCCAGGCCTCCTGACTTCATGTGTCTCTTCGATCCCGGCCAGCGGAACAGGCGTTATTTCAAAGCCTGGGTTTATCCTGCTGGGATATTAGTGTAAACCAGGGTGCTCAGAGGTTGGGAGCACTGGCTTTGGAGTCAGGGACTTGGGTTCAAGTCCTAGCTGTGCTGCTTCCTAGGTGTGGACTTTGGTTTCTTCATCTGTACAGGGTTTGAATGACAGCTGGATAATTCCTTATGGTTTTAAGTTCTGTGCCCCTGACATCTGGATCCAATGCTCATTCTTTCATCTTTCTACCTCCATCTGCCTTATCCCATCTGCATTTTAAGATGCCTGCGACTGTTCTTCCTTTCCAAGCTGCTTTTAGAGACTTCCATTTGCACTCTCCCTCCAGCACAGTGACACTCACTATTCTATTCAGGCTCATTCAGCCCGCACATCTAGTGCTTCCCTTCAGCTCTCCTGAGGAGCAGCCACTGGAACGGTGCTGAACTATGGCGACAGATCTGAGGTGGGACTTGGTGATTAGCAAAGAACAGATGCCATGCCCATGCCTCCTCCCTCGTGTAAAACATGCAAAAACAATGCGTTTGATAAATAGAAGTTTTCCCTGTGAGAATGCCTTCACAACATTGGCGAGAGATGTCAGCAGCTTTCAGGAATGGCCCTATGTGTTGACAGATGCCCTCATTTTGGCTGGCATCTGAGTCCCTGGGGAGTTTTGAGATTTCTAAAAGTATTCTTTTTCCTCTCCCCTCCCTCCCTTGGAAATGGGTAAATGATTCACCAACCGTGTTTTCTTTTAAGATCAATAGCAGAGCTATTGCTAACAGAGCTAACAGAGCTCCTTTAAGTAACTACCAGGTGACGGTCTGTGTGTAGCGTGGCTGTGGGAGCAGGCGGTGCTTTTCCTCACAGCCAGGTGGGACAGTGGCAGTGGGCATGAGAAGTGATTCAATGAGGGCTTGCTTTCTAGTTTTGTTTCCTTCCCCACTTTTCCCCGGAATTGCATCAGCCTTTCTCCAAGTGACTTAATCGCTCCCGACCTTCCACCAGGTCCCTCCCTCCCCACCCGTGGGACCTGGTGCACAGCTGCATTTCCTAATCGTTTGCACTGGAGAGTCTCGACAGTGGCTTCCTCCCCAAGGACCACGGAAAACATCTGGGCACATTGTCTGCAAAGGACAAAAGGAGAAGTTTGGCAAAACATGAGCAGAAGACAGCCAACTAGGGGAGCACATGGTACCAATCAAGGCAAGAGGGTTTCTTAATTTGATATCGAGGTTCCTCTCCCACTTAGGGTGAAAACCTAATTTTTCTGCTCTGCAGGGATCATTTTTTCCTTAGGAAAAGGTGTGTGGGCCTCTACAAAGGAAACTGGTTTCAACGTCAGCCTGGAAACAGCTTGCTCAAGGGTCCGGTGGGTGAGGGCATCCGAAAGAATAAGAATAAGTAGGTGTCTGATGCTGAAGAGGTGAGGACAGGGGTGATTTTTATAGACAGTTTATGCATTTAAAGGTTTGCGATCTAATTTCAATGCATTTATTGAAATTTACTTGATTTTATTTAAGAGTAAAACTAGTTTTAAAAATCCTATTACTCAGACTTGGAAGGTCTTTCTAAGGAACACTTCCCCCCAGCGGTCTTTAGACAATTAAGTCAGACTGAGCCCCGGGTGAATGATGGGCTTTATATTCGTTTCTAAGGCTAATACCCGGAAAATCTGCAGTTATTTTAAACGTCAATTGTTCCGCTTACCCAGCAGCCTTTAGAGAAATAAGACAAAAAATCTCAAAACTCACTGATTGGCAGCCCACTGCGCCAGGGAGTGTCATCTTGAATTGCCCTACGTTTGACAAGCCGATTGTGTAAGGACTGCATCCGTGGTAGGCTCCTCTGCAGAGAAAACACAGTCGGAGGACAGAGTTAAGTTCATTATTCTTTGATCTCTGGCCTGTGAAGCACGGAGTAGGACAACGGAGAAACCCCGGGAGGCCGTGGAGATGCAATGGAGCACCATTTCATGCAACTCCAGTGGTTTCTAAGAAATCCTCTAAGCCTATGTCAGGCAAATTAACTTATGTATCTTTCCTGCCGATGTCATAGATTTGAAATTGTAGGAGAGATTTTGGAGACCATCTAGCCAAGAACTCTGACCTTACCACCTGACTTACGGTTACTCTAAAGTAGTGAGACTCCTCTTCCGGCAACAAGACAAAAATTATACTAGGTGGAGTAAAAGTAGGCTTACAGTTGTACATATGGAAATAATACAATAATTAATAAATAATCTATCCTATATAATAAAGAGCTAATATGCTAATTAGACCAAACAGCTGAAGGACCATCCAGACGACATTCCGGATGAAGCCGAGGCGCTGGGGCTGCGAGGGCTGAGCCCCTTGCACAAAGTTCATGCATCAGGCTCTAGTATATATATAAAAGCCTAAGTGACTGTTCGACCATTCAACCGGTAGCTATGATGCCCACTGACCACCAGGGGGCAGACGCTCAATGCACAGGCATGGAAACATGAAACAGACTGATGAATCTCAGAGGGAAAGGGGGAGGGGGAGGGTGGGAAGAGATTAACCAAAGATCTTCTATGCATACTAGAGGCCTGGTGCATAGATTCATGCACCGGTGGGGTCCATCAGCCTGGCCTGTGGGGACCAGGTTGAAACCGGCAGTCTGACATCCCCCGAGGGGTCCCGGATTGCGAGAGGGCATAGGCCAGGCCGAGGGACCCCATCGGTGGCACTGGGCCTCCAGTATAAGAATACATTATGTTTCTCATATTACAACTGTAAACCTACTTTTGCCTCACCCTGTATATTCAATGAGTATTTGTCCTTGAAATAGTCACCTTGAGAAGCCAAATGTTTCTTCCTGTGATGCAGCTGATGCTCAACACCGTTGGGGACTCTTTTTTAAAAAGTGCCTTAAAAGCTACCTGATTTGCCATAGAAGAAACACAGGATTTGCTTCTTCTTGAACCTGAAACAATCCTACTCAGTATAAATCATCCTAATCATCAATTTGGCTTCAAATGAATTTGGGCAATTTCCCAAATCAAAATCACGCAAAGTTCAGATTTAGGACTGAATGAAGACCAATCCTATGCAAACAGATGGTCATCTATCTTGAAAGAGGAGACACAGATATGTGATGAGCCCTAGTGGCACCGTGACTGCTTTGAATAGGTTAATACTTGCCTGGACATACATCTTCTGGAATGTTACTTTAGGTAAAATATCCATCACAACTCTTTACAGTCATATTTCTTTAATAGCAAACGTTTGCTCATGCCTGCTATCACTATATGTGCTTTTTATATGGAATCTGTACTATTGGGTGTGCTTTGGTAGTAAAATTGTGCTGAAATGAAATCTTCTTTCAAATCTAGACAGAAATTATGGCCATGAATAATATGGTGGAAAGAATGGGACTATTTCTTTATTCCATCAATTTTTACTATAACTCACTCCTGTCTTTTGCATAAACCTTGCTGTAATCGTGTTTAAATGTGCTATATAAAATTACCTGAGGGAGGCAACTGTAAGCAAAATTCTTAGTGTTCTATTATTTCTAACGCTAATAATTTAGCCATCAAGGGTTAATAATTAACCTATTAAATGACCAACTCTCAAAAGTCCCCCAAGGGAACAGAAGTATGGACTGAAAAAGAAGAAAACGTGGAAGCCTGGTGCAGCTGGCACTGTGAATGCCGACTGGCTCCTTATCACAAGCAGAGATGAAGTGGGCCCAGCTCCTCTGGTAGAGTCACGAGTTTCTATGAGTGGAGACCAGTAATTCCCCACTTGGCATATGTCATCATCCAAGTACATCTTCAAAGTAAAAAGAGCTGTGATGTGACCTTCGCTTCCATAGGAGATCTATGACATTACTAGACTTCACGCTGTTGGTTACGCAGTCAGGGACCCCTACTTCGGATCAGGCCAATTTGGATGGGGTCATCCAGTCGTAAAATTCATTGGACTGATCTTGCCTTAAAACCTAAAATTAGAAACATACCCTCCACGCTGTATTTTACAGCTAGACATTTAGTGTTGGGGTAAGTCAATGCCGTTCAAGTTGGATGTTCCGAGGTGTGGTTACCTGAATGAAATGATGTCTGTGTTCTTTGAGTGTGCTCTGGCCATCAGCATGGCTAGGTCGTTGGCTTCTGAGCCACTGTTCACCAAGAAAATGACCTGGAGGGAAGGAAATACATGTGGCCTCATACTTCAGTTTATTTTCTTATTATCCATTCATTCAAAATTGCTGAAGACTGTCCCAGCCCAGATTATTAAGGAGCGTTTCCTAGCAGTTCTGTCATTTGACTACTGTAGTAATTCTACAGCTTTTCATTGAGCAGCTGCTAACAGCTAGAGATGCAAAAATGGCTCAGGGATTGTCCCAGTGTGAAACGTTTTGGATTTTCATTGGCTTTGTTTGACGCTCTGCAGTATACTTAGGTGGGGAGATGTGCTGAGTTATACACAGTGGTTAGTGGCTGAGTGGATCCGAGCACCAGGTCTGTTGATTTCTGAACCTAACTAACCCAAACCCTAACCCTAACCCTAACCCTAACCTGATCTAAGGGCTTGGGACTAGGAAGCTCCCTGATCCTGCAGCCCGAAGGGTATCCCAGCCTGAGCTGTGTGTGAATGGTGAAAAAAACAAGCAAACAAAAAAATGCAGTTCATCTTGGCCAAACAAAAGGGGCAAACAGAAGGGTATGAGTCCTCCTGGCTTGGGGACGGGCATGTAGGCATGCTCTGTGCCCTTGCTGACTTCCTGGCTTCTGCTCTTTCGTAAACATGACTGGGCTGAACTTTGGTTACAATTATTCCAACTTTCATGTCTTCCAGATACTATAGTCAATAGAGTATCTGGGTACTAGAGTAAAATCATAATAGTTAACACAGGTGCTGTCCTAGGTACTTCATATGTATTAACTCATTGAATCCCTAATTGCAAATCTTGGTCAACATTTTATCATCTCAATTCAGTTAAAAAATCCAATCATTTCAGATATAGAAGAATCTCATTTAGTAAAAACTTCTAAGTGCCTCTTAGACTAAATGAACTGAATGGTATATTTTTTATTTAAAAATGGCTCCCCTCTTTGTAAAAAAAAAAAATGCAAATGACTTTGCAGAGAGGCTATGAATCAAAAAGGTGAAAACCTCTTGGGGAACATAAAGGAGAGAGTGGGGGAGGGGGAGGGACTCCTGCTAAGGGATGAGGGTGGGGACCAGAGGCCTGGAGCTGAGGAAGTGAACACTAGCTGGTTTCACCAGCGATTTGTAAACTACTTTCTTCTTCTTCTTCTTTTTTTAAATATATTTTATTGATTTTTTTTACAAAGGGGAAGGGAGAGGGATAGAGAGTTAGAAACATCGATCAGCTGCCTCCTGCACACCCCCTACTGGGGATGTGCCTGCAACCCAGGTACATGCCCTTGACCGGAATCGAACCTGGGACCCTCCAGTCCGCAGGCCGATGCTCTATCCACTGAGCCAAACCGGCTAGGGCAAACTCCTTTCTTCTTGATTACTTCCAGATACAGCTACTGGCTCACTATTCAGTTGTTCAATGCACACACCCAATTCCCTGTCCACATCCCTGCCTCCTCGGGCCGCGCCTCTGGGATCGAGGCTCCAACCCCGGGAGCTGGGAGCATCCTACCTTTAGAGGGTCTGGGAGAAGTGCCGAAAGCTTCTCAGCATATTCATGGATGGGTGGGTGGAAGAAGAGGGCGCTTGTGTGCCACAGGCGGCCCAGCTGCTTCTGTGCCACTGCGTTCACCTTCCTGGATAAACCGGGGAGCAGAGTTACCCACGCTGCAGGCGGGCACGCCCCTCACCGCACACACACTGGCCACTGAGCGCAAAGATTTCACCCGCATGTGAGAAAGAGCGCTAACCACCACGGGTGTCTGGCAACGTTGCCTCCAAAGGCAATGAAGGAGACTAAATGGTTAACTTTTAAAAAAGGAATTCTTCGTGTAGGGGGGAGTTTGGACTTAGAGTCTCTTCCAACAAGGTGTTCTTAGTAATTACACTTTCAATCATTTGGAAGCCAGAGTCACTAGATGCCAGCATGGTGTCTGCCCATTTTATTTTTTTAAAGAGCTACAGACCCGCCAAGCACATGCAGACAAGGTCAATGTTCTTCTCCTTCAGTAAAGATTCTGATATCTGGGTCTTAGTAGTGGTGAAGGTTGAATATTTTGTAACTATGAAACCACATTCTGTGAAAGGAGGGTGACATTGATGGACAGTAGGAACTAAGGGCAGATAGACAGGCAGGACTTGGCTTGGAATGCCTGGCAAAGCCAGATGCAGATGTCTGATCTTGATTTAAAGAACAGCAAGGGCTGAAGTTTGTTATGCACCAATCTGTTATTAAGAACTGTCCCACCCCAAAGATCAGTTAATAGTTGAACAGCTTTGAGAAATGCAAGATCAAACAGATTTCTTGACTGCAGGACTTTTCAGTGCCTTTAACAGTCTCATGTGCACAACTTCTCCCCAGGAGGGCGATATAGTTTAAAGTGTTTCCTGAGCTTATTTCTCCCAAGGACGTCTTCCCAACAAACCTCTCCTGTGGTCAGTGTTCCATGGAACCCCCTTTGGAAAAGTGTGGAGTGCCCATAAACGCTCAGTCAGAAGAGACCCTTGGCCAAAGCATTGTTAGCGAAATGCATCTGAGAGCCACGTGCAGGTGGAATGGAGTGGTGGGGGAGGGTGGAGACTGGTGCTGGCAGTCCAGCTGGGAGGGTACGGTGGCCTTCTGGGTGTGGGAGGAGGAGACTGCTAGGAGATGGTGTTAGTTGGGCTGATGACTAAGGTAGCAGAGAACCTCACGATTGATGCGCCCATATGTTCCTAATGTAACTTTCCAGCCATGTTACACCCTTCTCCTGTCTTCCTTCCTTTCCTCGTCCATGGCTCAGAGTAGCTGATGAAGAGCCTTAGGCTGGCACTGCTCTCCCATCTCTCCTCACCGCCCCCCCCCCCCCCACACACACGTGTGCTGTGAGAACTGTTTCCCTTTCTCTGCCTCTGCCTCTCCACGTGCATGTCTTCTCTTGGGCAGCAGTTACCAGTGAGGAGCCTCCTCCCGCAGCCACACGCACAGCAGTCCGCTCACACGGTGCCCTCCCCACGGCACGGGCCCTGAGATGACTAAAACTTGCGATGCCAAGGGAAAGGGGCAGCGTTAAGATTTTTCTGTTGCCCAGGACACAGCAGGGAGCGTGTCAGCCATACACTGGGATGGGCCTCAGGAGAGAGAATTTTTCATCAGGGCCCGAATCACTAAGGTGGCCATTTGCCTGTTCCCCATACACTCTCCTGGAGCGGAAACCCAGAATTCTAAGGCTACTCACGGGTGGCAGTGGCCGACACTGACGGTGACGATCCCCGAGAAGAAGTCCAGGTATCTGTTTCCCTCGTGGTCGAAGAGCCACTGCATGTGGCCCTGGTGGAGCAGCAGAGGCTCCGGGAAGTACACCAGCTCGGGGGAGAGGTGCTCCCTGTAGACCTCCAGGACGCGGCTGTAGGGCATGGACTGTGGACAGACAGCGCCTAGTATGCAAAGTCTTCCTTCTCCTTCTCCCCGCGGCTCTTCCCACAGCGGCCAGGGCAGCAGGGCCTCGCCTCTCTCCTGACCCCGCAAGGCTGCCCCCCGCCCATGCTCCCCAGCGGGAGGCTGCCCACACCCCATGCTCCCCAGAGGGAGGCTGCCCCCCCCCATGCTCCCCAGCGGGAGGCTGCCCACACCCCATGCTCCCCAGTGGGAGGCTGCCCACACCCTCCTCGCAGGACACCAGGGCCCTTCCTCGCAGGTAGGGGAGTAGGAAGGTGGCCCTCGATGACCCCTTTTAGATCAGACATGAAGAAGGGGACAGGGCATTTCTACCGCTCAGTGGAAAGTCTTGTTGGCTTTGAGTTGATTTTAGCTGTGGGGGGAAAAAAAGACTTTGAAAGTGAATATCTGAAGCAATAAGTCGGGTTTAATTTTTTTAAATGTTGCCATATTTTTAAAAAATAAAAACATGAAGTGCTGGTGATGTTTATGCTCATAATTACCACTCCTGTCTCCTCTGCCTCTCTTCTTTGTGGGTCACTCCTGACTGTCAATTATTTATGTAATTTCTAACCTATGAATATTACGTAGAATAAAAAGTTTGGGGAAAGAGAGAGAGAAGGGAAGGGGAGGGGAGAGGAAAGGAGAGAAGAAAAGAAAAGGAGAGAAAGAGAGAGAGAGAGAGAGAGAGAGACTGATTTATTAGCTTGGGAGCAAAATAACTTTATATTTTTTGGTGGAGAACTCAGGAAAGCCAGATTATGCATTGCCATATGAGACAATCAAAATCAGAACAACATTGTTTAAAGTTAATGTGTGCCAAACCATTTTGTGATATATGTCTTATGTGCATATTTCTATCTCTGTCCCTGTGATATATCGTCATGGATGCACTCTGTCTCTCTCTGCCTCCCACCTCTCCTCTGCTCTGTCTCTCTCTCACAAACATGTGCAGCCATTCACACCATGGCATTGGAAAGAGCCAGGGGGTTCAGATGCTCCCAGTGACTTAAAGGAGAGACTATCTGGGTGGGATGCTCAGTAGGCAGGGCTGATTGTAGGTCCTTCTTTTTTTTTAAAAAATAAATATTTTTATTGGTTTCAGAGAAGAAAGGAGAGGGAGAGAGAGACAGGAACATCAATGATGACAGAGGATCATTGATCGGCTGCTTCCTGCACGCCCCACACTGGGGATCGAGCCCACAACCTGGGCATGTGCCCTGACCGGGAATCAAACTGGCAACCTCCTGGTTCATGGGTCCATGCTCAACCACTGAGCCACACCGGCCGGGCTGCGGGTCCTTCTTGAGGAAACAGTTAACTTAGCCTTTTCGAGAAGATCCACCTCTTTGGGGTTTCCCTAAAGCTCGAGCTCTTACCTGGTACCTCTCAGGCGTGAAGTCACATGGAGGCATTCTGGGTTTCGTATGAAGACCGAGCTTGGTTACAGATCTCCAGAAAGCACCTACTAAAGTGAAGTGAGTTAGGATCCTCAACTAACCATCACACAGGCCCATTTGTATCAATCACCTACAGTTTGTTACCTGAACCAAAGTCCTTAGGGTATTTCATTTCTTAGTTAAAAAATCATTTCCATCCATCTTTAGGTGGATTTAAAAACTGAGGTATCTCAAGAATGAATTTTCTGGAGAAAAAAGATAGTTTCTCCCAAATGTAGTCAGGAAAGGTGTGGGAGACACGGGGAAGTCATCCGGGTCGCCACAAGCTCGGAAAGCTCCTCCCCCCCCCCCCCCATGCCCACTACATTTCTCTTTTCAGTTGACCAAACTTCTTGCAGTGCTGTGTGCTGCTGGAATATGTCCCCTCTGTTAATAGAGGTACTTTCTAAGTGGTGCGTTGCCCAGTGCCTGAATCCCAGGACCCACCCCAGTGTCAATAATCAAGGAATGCATGTTTATTGACTTTTCTTATAGGGATTAAAGACAGAGATGCTGGGCAATGTACTATATTAATAAAGACTATGCGCAAATAGACCAGAAAGACGAAACCGTTCTCCAAAATACAACACAAAGACCATGGCTACACAAGACCATGAAAAAAAGCAAAGATAAGCTGAGCCAGAGGAATTGTGAAATATTTGGAGCTAAAAGGGACCTTCAATTTTATCTTTGGGTTAAAATACTCATTTCATAGATGATTAAATCAGCCTAAAACGGTGAATTAATTTGTTGAAGGTCACCAAGCTAGTTAGCTGCAGCACAAGAATGAAACTCCACGTCGCTGACCTCCAGCCCTGGACGTTTCCCCTTACTCATTGGCCCCCTTAACCCTCCCCTCCAGCACAGATTTTGATGGAATAATGGGCCAGAAAAGACCAGAGCTGGAAGAGACATCTAGAGACTTTATGAATAGTCTTGGAAAAGAATGCTGCTAATTTTGAAGATTCAAGGTCAGTATCAAGATAATTGGGGATGCTGAGGCAATGAGGTCTCTTGTTCAGCCCGAAGGTTTGAATCCACAGATGAAGTGTTGGTATTTTGTGTGGCTATGAAGTCACAGTCCTGAGAAACACAATGAACAACTGTGTTTTTAAAGGAAGAGGAAGTGTAACAGCATTGAATGTGTTTTCTTTCAAAGAGCTCTCATTCACTTTTCTGCTCTAAAGAATCACACATGTCATTAATTTGCTCTTACTTTAAAAGCAAGTGGCTTTTGGCTATTCATACATAAAAATAGCCCCTCAAAACCAACTCTAAGTTTTCTGAGAATTTCACCTTTCAAAAAGCTTTTCATTGTGTCTCTCTCTGCATTAGTTACTTTTCTGAGATAAAAGAAAAATTCTGAGTGTTTCTAAGAATTCAAATTTCCTTCACTCCTTCAGTCTCATTTTCCTACCTGCAAAGTTGGAGTTGCCTATTGAGAAGGATCTAAGCACTCTTGACTTCACGGTTACAGGAATTATGAAAGTAGGCTGAGAGGGAAAGAGAATTGGAAAGAAAGATTTGATAAAGGAAAGCCTGAGTTTTCAACAGTCAAAGCAGATTCATTCATTCATTCATTCACCCAACTGATAGGAATACAATGGTGGGATGAGGGCTCCAAATGCAATATATAAAATCCTGTTCTTAGAAAGGAAGGAAAGAAGGAAAAAAGGAAGGAAGACAGATAGCAAAAAAGTAGGAAAAATGATTAGTCAATAAGTGAAATAAGTCTAGATAACATCTCAAGTCTAGATACATCAAGTGGGTATGTATTTTGCACACAGAAAGTTCTTAAGAAGAGTGTGTTCAATGAGTGTGTTGGATGAACTAACACAAGCAGGAATACATCTAGATACAGTAGGTAAGAAAGTGGAAATCAAACTTCAAATGATTTCATTTAGTGATTTTTTAAATTTTAGAGAGCGAGGAAGGAACAGAGAGAGAGGGCGGGGAGGAGGAGGGGAGAGAGAGAGAGAGGGAGAGAGAGAGAGAGAGAGAGAGAGAGAGAGAGAGAGAGAGAGAGAGAGAGACTCTTGTTGTTCTACTTATGCATTAATTGGTTTATTTGGCTTATTCTTGTATATGTCTTGACCGGGCATCAAACCCAAAACCTTAGCATATTGGGACAACACTCTAATCAACTGAGCCACCTGGCCAGGGCCAAACTCTGAAGGATTGTAAAAGGCAAGGTAAAAAGTCTGATAGTCATGTCTACATGGTGTGGGTTTGCAAGGTGCCTTCTCTGTAGTGGAGCTCCGTTAAGGAGTTCCAATGAGCTGATCAGGACCTCCAGGCAACAAGCCTCACCTGCCATTTCTAAGACACCTGCTGCCACCATCAGCCCAGCTCTGCAACCAGCAGGGGCCAGGGGAGGGAAGAGGAGGGGGCCACAGAGAGGACATTTCTCCTTGCTTTGTCAACAACTGGTATTTTCAGCAGAGTGTCCTTCTTATCAAGCATAAAACCCTGGGTTTTAACATTCTAACTCTTTCTTAGAAAATTTAGGGGTTAATTGATGTTTTGGCAAGAGACCGATGACTAAGGGAAAAGAGAAATCCAAACAGGATGGGAAGAAGGGTGGGTGAGAAGGGCCCGGTGGAATCACTCTGACGTTGGAGTTAGAGGGCCTTTCAGACAGAGCTGGCTTTGAGTCCCATGTTGTCACTTCTATGTTTCTGCCTTTGACGAAATTTTTTAATCATTCTTTATCCTTCTGTCTCCTCATCAGTGAAATTGGATACTGGTACTCACCTACAAGTCTGGTTGAAGATGAAAGGAGATAATAGTATAAAACGTCAGGCGTATTAAGTTTTTGGGGTGGAATGAGAAGCAAATAGGGGAGGAAGAAAGGATAGAGAACAAGGAAATATGAGGAGAAAATGAGGATAAAATTGATCTTAATAGGGAATGGAAAAGGGTTTTCTATGCCTGATTAGAGCTCGCGAGGCCCAGGTCCCACTATGGCACATAACGTGCGGATAGCTACTGACGCTCATGTTTGCATGAGGGAGATTGTTGGGGGCGTGGTGGTGTTCTAGTGGAATGAGAGATGTGAAAATCACAGGCACATGGGACAAAATACATGAAGCCACATGGCTGGCTACCCCAGGTCCCCTCCCATTTTCTGTTCCTGCTGGAAAGAGAAGAATCTGAGTAGGAGAGGTGTGAATAAGAGAGAGAGTTAAGGAGAATATGCATTCAAGGTCAAGTCCTAGATTTTGGGGTGCCCCTGGGCTAATGACTGCCCTTTTCTGAGTCTCAGTGTCTGTGCTGGTAATCGAGGGGGTGGTGGAAAGTTGTGAGGATGCCCTATGTCTTTTAAAGGGGTTGTCTTTGAGCATCTATATATTGCAGTTAATACTGTATGTTGCATTCCTTTCCTTTTTACATTACAGCTCCGGCGTCATGTTTTTATTTTGAAAGTGTGTATAGCCAGCTTTTGCTATCCAACAATTTCACTGGAAAATACTGGACAAGGGAGGGGGCTTTGGACCCAACAGGGTGAGAACTGCTGTGTTGCTGCCCCGTCTCTAAGATCCCATCCAGGTCTAACGTTTCAGAATCCCAGGTACAGGCTCCAGAGCTCCGTCCTTCCCTCTCCCTGACCCTCTGCTGCCCCACGTCCCCCTGGGTTCCACTCACGGCTCAGGGAAGGGCATGTCTTGGGGGTCCAGGGTGAGGAAGTCTCCAGGCGCAAAGCTCTTGGCAAATGTCTCCAGGCTGGAGTCATCTCTCCTGCCCAGGAAGCCAATTCCCACGCAGCAGGTCGGAGGAAGGGTTTCACCTGCTCACCCACCGGATGGACTTTGAGCTCAGGAGGGCAGGGGAGGAGCTCGGGAGAGGCGTCCTGGAGTGGTTACTGACCAGCCCAGCAGCAGTGCCTGAGGGACAGAGAGGGATAAAGGGAGTGGGGGAAAGAAAGGAGGAGAGAGGCGAGAGAGAAGGCAGGCAGGCAGGCAAAGGGAAGGAGTTCTGGACTAGTTTTCTTAGTTTTGTGTTTCGTCAGGGTCTGATGGGGTGTGCTTCTCGCTTGGGAGGGTGGTAATGGGTGTGGGGTTAGGGTTAGAGACTGAGATCGAGGGGTGTGAATAAGAGAGAGAGTTAAGGAGAATATGCATGAAGTGAATGGGTAAGGAAATAGGTGTTGGTATGGGGGGGGGGGGCTGTAGAGAAAGAGGACAGGGATTAATGGGGCAGGGGACACTCCAAGAGGAAGGAGAGGGGCACCAATGGGCTAGGGAAGGCCCTGCCTGGACAGTGGGGCATCCCTGTAGGTGTCTGTATGAGGCAAGAAGCCGAGAGCTGAGACGTTAGGGTGATTTATTTTTATTACATTTTAATTTCTTAAATTCCCATTTGTCACTCTTGCCTCCCCCTTCCCCAATCTCCATAGGCAGGTATTTGATGTGTTTAATATATATCTTTTTGTTGGTATGTGTTCTTGTAAAATGTGAATTGTTTGTGGTAAATGCATTTTTTTCAAATTACTTCATTTTAGTAATGTGGTAAGCACTGGTGAAAAACACATTAGGTAAGCTTATATATTTTTATCTCCTTGTACCTGACAATGTCCTCAACTTAAGAAGTTGAAAGATGGGTTTTGGCTGTTTAAGAAAAAAATGTAAAACTCGACATTGAAATAAACCAGGTCTTCCTTTTAATAGTTACCAGGATTTAGATGTAATTCCCGAAAGGAAAATGTTCATGAGTTTTTCTGGAGAAGTTAAACACATCGATAGTGAAACTTCTAGAGTTCAATGTGAAATAACAGTGGCAAATATTTTTAAATAAACATTACAAGTTCATGGAAGTTCCTGACTGGTTTAAAGAAATTGGGTTCCATTTGGGGTGATGTATCTGAACCACGGAGCTTCACCCAAGAATAATCGTCAAGGGCAGACAGACTTTTAAAGGGAGGGGACAGGTCTTGCCCTTGTAGAAGGCATTATTAAACGGTGAGAGTGGTATCATTGTAATCAATCTAGTTATTAATAACAGGAAAGGAACAAAGGGAAGGCCAAGTATCATAGGCAAGTCATTTGGACAGCTTCACCAGGAAGTCAGAGCTTGACACTCCCCAGGGCCATGCGGACCCCACACTCAATGGACTAATGTACTGTAACCAGCCTCATGCTGAACTGGACCTGGCTGCAACATGGAACGGAAGCTGTGGACACTGGCTTTGCTTTTAGCTTTACTGAAACCCCAGCTACACTTCTTCTATGACTGGAATGGGACTTTGGAAAGTCAGGGATGTAATTCCATGCAAATAAAAATCACTCACCCTCCTGTGCAAGTCTCAGAAAATTCTTGTTTTTAAGATATCATAAGGACCCCACCCCCAACACCCAGTGAGAAAGGGGTAACCCCAATTTCTCCGATAATAAGAGTATGCTCAAATGCATGTGTTAGGAACCAAACCCCATGGAGAAAGGGTGACAGAAAACTAGTCCCTCTCAGGCCACTAAGAAAGCCACCTATACAACCAAACTAGAGTAAACCAAGGTCAACAAGACAATAAGACGTCTCATCACAACAATTTCATACACATCAACTTCCTTAATGGAATCTAACTCTTCCTGAGGACACACCCACCCATTTCTTTTCTTTCTTTCTTTTTTTTTAAAAAAATATTTTTTTATTGATTTTTTACAGAGAGGAAGAGAGAGGGATAGAAAGTTAGAAACATCGATGAGAGAGAAACACCGATCAGCTCCCTCCTGCACACCTCCCACCGGGGATGTGCCCGCAACCAAGGTACATGCCCTTGACCAGAATCGAACCTGGGGCCTTTCAGTCCGCAGGCTGACGCTCTATCCACTGAGCCAAACCAGTCAGGGCAACACACCCACCCATTTCAAACCAGAACGACTGCTGTTCTGCTTGTCCAGGCTCCCCACGGACCCCATGGTGCCATCGGCCACCAGCCCCGCATCCTGAAGCCTTCCTCCTAGGAACACCCCAATGGCCCACATCAGGAACAACGGGCACCCCTCCCACCATTTGCACTCTGCTGGGCCTCGTCAGCCACCACACATGGAAAAGTGAAGGTGTAAGGCACAGGTATTTCAGGGCCCCCACCTGTGCATTCAGTATCGGTGCCCCATTAAGTTTCCTTCCCTAATTTTCCTATGATGCCTCTAAATAGATTTCCAAGGTCAAACCAATTAACCCAAACAACCAATGCTTAGTATTTCTGCCCAGACCTTTTCAACATAATCACCATTTTAAAAAGAAAAATGAGCTAAAGAATGAATGCCACATCCTTTGGTGGACCTCAATTTTAAAAAAGCAAAACCTGTCCTGGCCACGTGGCTTGGTTGGTTGGAGCATCATCCTGTACACCAGAAGGTCGTGGGTTCAATTCTCAGTCAAGGCACATATGTAGGTTACAGGTTAGATCCCTGGTTGGGGTGCATAGAGGAGGCAACCAATTGATATTTCTCTCTCTCTTCCTTCCTCTATCTCTAAAAATCAATTACAAAATAAGTGAAAATGAAATCACAATAAATCTGACCATTATATTTTAGTAAAGACTCTTTTAGAAATCATTTTATATGTGTATACTTGTGTATATACATACCATTTTATAAACTGCCTAAAGTCAATAATGTAGTTTTTTGTGCAAAACTATAGCTTTTCATGCAAAAATAGAAACCTGAGTCACCTTTCTTAATTATTTTCCATAATATTCCATTATGTATTTAATTTTGAAAAATTCTTGGCCATTAGTACTTCACCTATTCTCTGTTTTTCTTCTCCTTCTGGTATTACCATTACATGTATATCTTTTAAAATTGTTCCACAGTTCTTGAGGGTTCTGTTCTGTTTCTTTCCTACTCATTTTTTTCTAATGTGCCCATCACAGACATTCTTCATTGCTGCTATGGTGTTTTTGATTTCTAGCAGTTTCTTTGGATCCTTTCTTAGAGTTTCCATCTCTCTGCTTACACTACTCATTTGGTATGATATAATGTCTACTTTTCTCATTAGAGTCCTTGACATTAATTATAGTTATTTTAAATGGTCAGGATTCCAATACCTGGGGTCAGATCTGAGTTTGTCTCGGATGCTTACTTTGTCTTTTCAGACTGTGTTTCTTTTTCCTATCACTTTGGTTAACGTCGCAACCTTCTGATGAAAGCTGGACACGATGCATTGGAAAAGCTGAGGTCAGTAGCTATAATGTAATGTTTTATATTCTTCTGGTTGGGAGTTGGATGTGTTTAGTGTTTGCTGGAGCTGCAGATGCCAGAGGACTTAAATTCCTTGAGTGTCTTTGTTTTTGTGTCCTCTGTTGTCTTAGGCCTTTCCTAAGAACTTCTTAAAGAGAGTCCATTTTATTATACAGGTGCCCTAAAGTCTAATGGGTGATCTCAGTCTTTTCATGGGCCTCTGTCTCTGGACTGTGACTTTCACAAGTGTTTCTCCAGGAGTTTAACCTGGGAAAAAAGATCCCACTCTTGACTCCCTTCTTTGGCTTTAATTTTTCCATTTTAGTGCCTTGAAGCCCTTATACCCATGGAATTTGTTCTTCTTTTTTCTAATCCTATAGATGAGACAGGAAGACTAGAGGGAGCTTTGGGGGGATGTCCCTCACATAGCTGATGTGGGATCTGGCAAAGTCATTTCCCTTGGAGAATAGATCTTTGTTAAAAAGAAGGCTCTGAGCACATTTCACAATGATTACGCTCCCCTTTGCCAGCCACATCAGTGAAGGGATCATCACCATGAAAGCGGTGTAAAGGGATCATCACCATATAAGTCTGGGGTCTTCCTAAGACTGTGGCAACCAGGGAGTTTCTCATTCTCACACTGGACCACACCAGTCCTCCAGCAATTTGTCAAAATTACTGTTTAAGTGTTCCTGCCAGTTAAGGTTCAGGTGGCTTTTGCTCCAGGTTAAGCAAGTCTTGGCTGTAGCACTCAGGATTTGCCTGTATCTCTAGATTTTAAGAGTGACCAGTCACTTCGCAACCTCACTTCTCTGATGTATTAAAAAAAAAAAGTCATTGGTTTTCAATTTGCCAGCTTCTTGTTTAAAAATGGAAGTGACAACTTCCAATCTCCTTGTGTGCTGAAGATAAAGCTGGAAGACTCCATCTATTTTAGGAAATAAATCTCTGTTGATGGAAAGCTTTATTTGTCCAACATCCCAGGACATAGACTTTGGTGCACTGTGCTAATTATGTTTTTCTCTGGGTAAATTCCTTGAGGAGAGATTTCTAAGTTGAAGTGTACGTGCATTTTAAATGTACTCCAGAAGATGTCCTCAATTTATAATTTAACTAACATTTCACAGAACTGGTTTTCCAAGATGTTGGGCCTTTTGACCTCTTTAGAATGACTGTAGTATCCATTGAATCTGAAAACTGGGATGGGTGGAAAGAACACTCAGATTCCCTCCAGGGCATCACCCTCAGTCTAGGAGTCCTTGAAATACCAATCCAAGGTCTCTTACCCTGGGTTCACAGACAATACTCCTTTTAAACAGCCGTTTTCTGTCAGTGATAGGGGCTTGAAGAGACACCTGCTATGGATATTTTTCTTCTTTCTCCTTCAAGCAGATCAGGTGTCATTTTCTCCACTTTATAGAGAAGCAGAGGTGAAAAGCTACAGTTCACAGGATGGTAAACAGGAGGAACAAGAAGTCTGTCTCTTGCCGCCATCTCCATTTCCCAGATAATGAATGACTTTGAAGGTACAGAATATATTCCATGAGGTAGGGGGACGCTGGAATTTCTTCTTGGAAAAGATAATTGAAAAATGGGGAAACATGGAAATTCTGTTGTCATGTTAATGATTATAGGG